GTCCAGGGGGGAAGGCCCCTGGAAGCTACGGATATTTTACGAAGTTTGGTGAATTTTATAAGTATTTTATAGGCATCAAGCTACTGTAGTATGATTTCATATTTGTTGTATTTCCAGTGGCGCATCTAGGAATTCGAAATAGAAGGGCCCAGGGAGGATAATTTCACAGATAGAAGATCTATACTACCTCAGCCCTACCATGGTTGGAACTGAGATAAGAAAATTTGTGATTATGGCACCTCTAGATGGCCGGAAATTGCACTTCCAGACATAAAATTTGATTTTGATTATCTTTATATCTCCATTTTTAATTGAACAATTTAGGAGGGTGGGGGTGGGCCGGCTGGGTCCCCTTTAATCCGCCACTGGGTACTTCAGGAGATGGAGAATCTATACCACCTCAGGCCCGCCATTGTTTGGGGCTGAGATAAGAAAATTTGTGATTATGGCACCTCTAGATGGCCGGAAATTGACTCAAAATTTGAATATAATTTTCTTATATCTCCATTAAAAAAAATTGAACAATTTAACCTCCCCCTCCCCTTGAATGCGCCACAGATTTCCGAACAAAGTCGAAATTGCTTCCACGACCTCAATAAATTATTTATTATGAGGGTTATCCTTGATATGGGTTCCCCGACGGAAACTTCACTTTTCCCCCGATGGATAAAAATTACCCTTGTATGTACCTCAGAAATGATACTCCAACTGTGGCGGTCCAGAAGTCGAAATAGAGGTGTACCAAGGAGAGTCTTGCGTAAATAAAATGTCCACCCACCTCAGCCCCACAACTGTTGGAAAATTATGATTATGGCACATCTAGATGGCCGGAAATGGCACTCTCAGATTAAAAGTTGAATACAATTTTGTCTGTTTTCTCCATTTTTTTTGATAATTTTGAAAAAAAAATGTGATGGGGTCCAGTGCTGACTGGGTTTTCCATTGAATCTGTCACTGTTCAATATAACACTTGACATAGTCTACCACTTTGTCTCACAAAATGATTAATTCCTAATGTCAAGCGAAAGATTGTTTTATTCAATTTTTTTTCTTTTTTACTCAATACAGTTTTTACAACCTATAACACCTTAACTACTGTGTACCGTACTGTAAATTCTGTACTGGTACTTAACCTTCAGACAACTTTATTTTAAAAAGTGGCCTAATAAGTATCTTGTTTTCGTTAAATTAGAGTTAAAATGTGGTTATATTATGCTAGCTTGAAGGTTTACTGTAAGCCAATCAGTTACACTTACTATACATCTTCGTGGTCAGCATAAAGAGAACTAGAACGTCGCTTCATTAAGAGTGCCTACCTCCCCCCATATGCCTAAATACAGAATTCACGAATGCAGGCGATTTTTTCTGCATGCTCGAGGGTGGGTTTCAAGGAAACTTTACAGACGCACGTATACAGACGTGACTTTTCCTACATCATTATACTTTTTTTTTTAAACTCTGTGATGTGTGGGACATTAAAAAAATATATTTTCCTGTTGTTTTCCACTAATGTGTGGGCTTTCTAGCAGAATAAAAATTGAATTTAATTTTTTTCATTTTCTCCATGAAAACACCATAAATTTACTGTGACGGACGTACAATTTTATCGTGACGGACGTAATTGTATGAATTGTGACGGACGTACACATCTAAAAATACAAAAAAAAATTACAATCTAAATTAATTTGTTTATTAATTAATATACTGGTATGCTTATATAATATAAAAGTACCAAAATATACTGGATTTTAAACTTTTTTTTAATAATGAATGTAAAATACAATGAATTCAATAATTTAGGTAATTTTGTGTCAAATAATCCTCAGTTGACCTCAATACCCTAGTAGTCAAACCATGTTTTGTATGCATTTGAGGTAAAGAGAATACTGACTAAATTTGTTCAGGATGGCCCTAGAATCATTTTGGCTTGGTAACACGTTTTTTTAAATGTGGCAAATGTCAAAGGTCAGGGTCAAAGGTCATAGTAATAGGGCCCTTATATCTTCGCAACCACATGTGGTAGAGAGTCAAGTTTGGTGCCAAGTTGTTCAAAACATTTATATTTCTATTTACCATAATAGAATATTTTGTTAAAGATTGACTGGACATGCCATTTCTGACCTTTGACTCATCTCCGGGTGATATTCACAGGTTCTCATATTTCCGTACCAACTGGTGGTAGGGAGTTAATTGTGGTGTCAAATTGTTCAGAACATTCATGTAAACAGGTTATAAAGGAGTTGGTTCTAAATTTGTAACCAGGAAAAATGATTATTTGGTTCCCAAAATGCACTTTGTTATTATTAATTAATGCAGACAGTTAAACTAGTGAAAGAATATGTGCATACTGTACTGTACTAGATCTATTAAGCCAAGTCCTAGCTTTTGGTGTTAAATTCTTCATTGTATATAAAGAATCCTGCAATGGGCAAGTTTAGATTTTAAAGGTTCTGGAATTAGAGATTATTATAAACACCTGTAATGTATAGAACAACATTTTTGCAATACAAGAAAAATCATAGTATTTGTAGTTAATCAAGATGACTGTATGGTTACTCAAGCTAAATAAGGTGTCTTATCTTACATTATAATGATATCCTGTAATTTGAATATAAAAAAAATCATATAATCGTATGTTAGCTGTAATTGTAATTACAGGACATTGTTATGATGAAGTAGATAGAGTAGCCGTGTTTGTCAAGATGATAACATTATTATGTAATTTGTGTATTGCCTGCCTGGTTTGTTTTTATTAGATATTTGCTTAAAATTGTAGTTCAAAATTGTTTTTGTTTGTAATGTAAGCCCATGGTACTGAAAATATGTGCATATTGCACACTGTTTGATAACATTAAGACAAATGTGATTCAGGGAGGAATTATGTAAGCCTAAATTGATCTCGACCAGAAACTCAAGTATGTCGCTCATACCCAGAATTGTCCATGTTGTAATATGTTTTGTGCACAACATGTAGCCTACTGTAACTAAGGACATATGACACATTGACAGTTTTCAAATTTTCACCATATTTAATAGGTTATAACGCATTTTACACAGTGTGAAGGACGTACAGAAAAAATGTACGCCTGTCACATGGTTTTGCTAATTAGTGTAATTAATGATAGGCTTCGAATTTGCTGTATACACTTGGTATACCTAGTATGCTTTATAACAGAGTTTTGGTAATTTCTTTGTACCTGGTTAGAAAAGAAAATAAACAAATGTCATTTTCTTGTGACGGACGTACATCCATATTTTCATTATTTTTAAATATTTATTTAAAAATATGGCGTTGATTACAAAAAGTCAAAAAAATTAACCAAATCACACAATACAAAAAAAAAAAAAAATCAGATTCTGATATTTTGCAAGGGAAAAAATTGGAAATTAAAATTATAATTACATTTTCTTTAGTATTTCAAAATATTAATTAATTGTATTGAATTCCAATTATTTTCCATGTGGTAAGTGAATATAACTCATTAGCTTCATAATGATGTATCACACATACACATTTGATGTATTTGAATTTTTTACCATTTGGTTTACTAATTTAGGAATTGCCCTTTTATAATAATAATAATAACAATAATAATATTAATAATTATAGGTCAATTTATAAGGCGCAAATAAACAAGGTGTAAGCACAAAATAATAATAATAATAATAATAATAATAATAATAATAATAATAATAAG